GGACAATACTCCCTTTGATACCACTCTCTGAGTCGCCGGGAGAGTTGGTTTCTTTCAACAGAAGGTTGGAAGAGACGGTCAATGATGTGATGTTGGCGGTGGGAGATTACAATGGTTGGTGGGTGCCGGGATGGGAAAAACCTGTGCACAGACATCTGATGACTTCCGTCACCCGATCCATGTCCGCTGCCCAGGCGATGACGTTCCGCGAGAAGATAGACAAGGTCTTCTCGGATACGTCGGAGAAGATGGCAAGAGGGTCGACAGGTAGAGAGGCCTTGACATTCTTGACTTCGGCGTTGGGAAGGGTTGTGAGTTCACCCTCGTCCGAGAAGTGTACGACTTGCAGACTTCTACGGTACCGACTGGAACGCCGTATTGTGAGTACCTGACTACCTTGCAGGGGTTGGTGCACAATGTTCGAAAAATTTGGGAATTGTGACGCCGCAGGATAACGCCATTCAACTGGCAGTGAGAGAGAGTGTGTCCGATCAATACAGTGTCCTGACCGCTTCTGTGTTTAAGGGCAAGCAGTTGGGGTTGGTGCCGTTCGATATCATCGACACCTTGATGCAGGAATTGCGAGATTTCGAGGCGGTGAAGGGGGGGGGCACGACTCCAACGCGGAGGTCGGCTCAGGTAAAGGGTTCCTCGGGGGGGAGGAAGGGACAGAAAAGGGATGGAGGAGGGGGGACAGGGTCAGGGGGAACGAATACCTTTCGGTCCGCGTCTCCGGGCAGGTCGGATGGAGGATATGGGGGGAGAAGGGTGATGACGGTGGACGAGGTCGATTACGAAGATGAATGTGCAGAGTTTCAAAGAGTCTATGACATTCACGTGTCGCCTCGCACTAACAGCCAATTGAAGGATTGTCCCTTTTTCGCGTAGTTTACGTCTGTCGAGGAAAAGGACAGGCACCGGCGGGCATTCGGGTCAAGATGTTTGAACTGTGGTAGTGAAGAGCACTTTGTGCGTGATTGTGACAAGGGTTACATTGACGCCTCAAACGCGTTGAACCGTAATTTGGCAAACGGGTCACCGGCTGAAGTCAAGGCAAGGTGGGATCGATGGTTGAATCGCCTGAAGCAGTGGCAAGCACATCGTATGGAGGAAAGGAGGAGGGAGAGAAATAATTGATGGTGCGACGGTCCGTTGGCCAGCTTGCCGGCAGCACCTTGGCCGAACTGCTTTGTGGGTGGTCAAGCAGAAGAGAAGGGTGAACGGGGGGGAAGATATTGCGAGAATAACAAAGAATTCCGCGGGGAGGAGGTGAAGGGTGAAAGGGGCAGAAGATATTGCGAGAATAACAAAGAATTCCGCGGGGAGGAGGTGAAGGGTGAAGGGGGTGAAAGATATGGCGTGAATAACAAAGAATTCCGCGACGTGGAGGTGCAGGGTGAAAGAGGTCCCGGGTATTATCACGACCAAAAGAAATGTCGCGGGCAGATGGGAAGAAAGCAGAGCCAAGGGCCGGGATCAAAGAAGAATCTCGGGGGGGCT